TCCTCTGTGGCCCCGTGTGAGCTTGATAGGCCCCTCTGCCTTTAAACGCCTCCACCGGTAACATTCCTTCGACCCATGACGTAGCACACCGTCTTTCCGCCGGGCTGTGGAATTTTTGCAAAGTCCTCAGGAGGCCCAGGTAGCCCAAGCGTTAGCATGTGGTCCATGAGGTTGGTGAATAACCCAAACCGTGCCGGTCACAATGGATCTTCTTCTGTTTCGTGCGTGAACAACTTTCAAGCGGGTTTCCGCGGTGCGTTTGGTATATCACGCTTGCCCCCTCCGTTTGAGAACAGTCACGGGATTTGGGATTCAGTATTCTCACAGTGCTCAAATCAGTTGTCGTGTCTCACTCATATTTTTTTCCTCCGCTTTCTTCTTCTTGTGGTTTCCTGAGCTAGATGTAGTCTGTTTCCGCCTCTTCTTCATCTGCGGTTTGGGCCCACATCTCGCGGGGTCTCATCTGGTGCGGATCCGCCTCGGCTCCGCCTAGTGGTTGGGTCGTGGGCTGGTGCTTTAGAGGCAGAGTAACATGAGCGCGTAGAAAGCTCCCGACAGACCCTTGATAGTGAAAGGGAAAAGAGACAACAGTAGTCTGCTTCATTTTTAAAAACCCAACGCCTTGTTTGGGCGCGTACTTAGCATGGAGTTCTGCTCCTAGTGTGAAAGGGTTAGTAGGTGAGAACGAGGGCGTGTGTGTGCGCCTGTGTGTTCTCCGCTTTGGTGAAAGGCGGAGGAGCTATTGTTTTTTACATATTTCTTTCTCTAACCTCTTTTGCCGTGATATTCTTAAAACCAAGTATATATTTTTTTTTTTTTCTTCCCTTCTTCTTCTAAATTATCACGCAGATGACCTGCACCATAGGCAAGCGCTTCACAGCTTGCATCTGTAGATTGATTTTACCCATTTCTCGTACGAACAATGGGCCTAACCCGCTTAGTCTCTCCCTGCTCCTACCCACTTTGGGGCGCTCCGTTCCCCCCCCCGCTGGTTCAACCAGCGAGCGCGCGCGTTCTTGAAAAACGGAGCGGTTCTGGCTGAAGACACTCAGAGATTCCAGGGTCGCTTACAATGCGATACTAACGCGCAGCCCGCTAGTTTCAATCTAGAACAAAAAGCCCCCAAAAAATCCCGAACACAGACTATGCTGTGGAAATGAATGAAATACCCCAAAAATACATAAATAAACAAATCCCCGTGTACACTTAAGTGCTGCCCTGGGCTCGTTACGCAGATGAAAAGACAAGACTCACCAGATTAGGTTCTTTTTGGTCTTGTGTGGCAAAAGGATTCCTTCCGTGCGCGGGACGAGCGGCGCCCTCCTTTGTCTCCAAAAAGGAACAGAGGCTGGTGATCCAGGTCGGCCAAACAAAGCCGCTCGTCCCCGCCGAAAGTATCCATGCCAAGACATGCCAGCAACGCCAAATTGTTATAGAATTATATACCCCCATGAAGATAAAACTCAAAGGTCCTTTGTCTGATCAAAAGCGTAAGTTTATTGTTAACGCACAGTGCGGAGAGCAGCACATACACTCCAAAAGCAGCATGTCCCAGCTCTGGGGGCAGAGCCCCGAGCTTCCAGTATACAAGACACACACCAAAGATAGTCACGCCCACAACGGAGCGGAGGGGGGCCACCGGTGAGGGAGGCGCACAGGAAGCGCCGGCGGCTATCCCCTGTGGTGGCAGTGGCATGGGGTGTGAACAGACAGACAATGGTGGAAATGCAGGTCATACAGATGCAAGACGGAAAGACACAAGGGTGACAGACAGCAGGGACCTTCACAAAGCTCAGCATGGCGTCAGAAGGTCGTCTGCATTGATAAAAGGCCTTTGACGTCCGTGTATTTGCTGCGGCTGGTTTTAATGTAATTACTCCAAAAACTGTCACCACACCCTGCAATGGGGGAGGAGGGCCTGAGTCGTTGTTGTTTTTGGTTGATTTCACACGAGCCCATTGACTTGATGCAGTAACCTTGGTCACATTGATTGGCGAGTCCTTCAAGATACTGCATTAGTTTAACCACTCTTTAATTTTGTATTAGCGTCAACGATCTCGAGCAAAACACGGGTTCTCGCAAGGCTACTGAACACGCGTTTTCAACTTTCCAACTTCACTTCACCCATGAATGAGTTCTCCTATTAGTTTAAAACTTGGATTGTTGCTGTGCAGAGAGCTGTGAAATAGATGTTCTTGGCATGTTTGCACTTTCAGAGGTGATAAGTTGAATGTTTCCAAATTTAGAAACTGAAGAGAATGTCGCACTGCAATTTCAACAAAAAGCAGTCTGTAACCTTCATTTGCTTGAGCGCTTCCATCTACATGTATTATGCTCAACAGAAACTTTATCAGATTAATTTCAGTTCTGAGAATTAGTGAAAGTACCCATCACACCTCAACCTTTAAAACCCTTAGATTACCACTGTTGGTATCTGCTGTAAATATATACTGTAGATACAATTATTCTTTGCATGTTTTCTCTGCAATTCTATCTTGTTAAACCTTCAACAAAGAAATGAAAAAGTACAAGATGTTTAGATATGTCAGGGATGATGTGCGAAATGTTTGCACTGGGAAATTAGATAGACACATACACTGATAGTCCCTTAGTAAATTATAAACCAAGTAGAAAAATAACCCACAGTCCAAAATGATCATACATCCAGTTGGTCAAACAGCCTTGGTCAGAGCTCTCTTTACTGGAGAGTCTGGTCATGCATGAAATATCAGCACATTGTCCTTGAACACTGGTTATACTGATTTATTCACATGTGCACCAAACTTGTGTCTAACAAGATGAATGAAGTCAGGTCTGGTATTTTGTTTTAAGTGGTATTTACTATATATTTTTAAGAGGATATTGGAGGATATCCGGCCATGCAATTGTAAAGAGCATCATTTCACCTGAGAATTTTCCCAAACTAATTTAAGGTGTGTGATGACATAGTGGTACAATGACATCACACAAATGGACAGAGACGGGAGTTCGGTCTTGGTCAGGGTTCATTTTCACAGGGTCAATTTTCAAATTTTCAATGATTACATTTATTGCCTCTATCATGTTTTAGATATAGCATGTCCAAACTTAAGCCCATCGGGCCAATTGCTGCCCTCTGCGTCATGTAATCCATAGTAACCATAAACACAAGTTCACAGGTCGCTTCTGTCAGTGTGCCTGGGGCAGCTGTGGCTACAGTAGTGGTTTATCACCACCATGTTTGGAGTGAATGAATAATGACATGTAAAGCATCTTTGAGTGTCCAAAAAAGCGCTATATAAAACTGATGCATCATCATCCGGCCAGCTTCAGATCTGCCAACACATTATACCTCGTTGTGAAGCTCAGGATCTCTGGAATCTAATTGTATATGGCTTCGTTTTACTGTACTGACATTGTTTTTTTAATTGTATGGTCCCGATGTATCTGGTTAATGAGCACTTATAAACACTCAATCTGTCAACTTTAGCTCTGTCAAATGTGAACCGATATAGTACTGTCATATTACATTTTAAAGCTCAGAACCTCTGGACCAAAAAAGACCCACTTATTAAAGATTTGGATACCTCTGTTGTAAATGATACATTTTTTGGCCCTCCCATTCTTGTATGATAGCTTATAAAATAGATCCTTCTCTTCTTTAAAGCACTGCCATATACAGTATATACCAACATGATGTTTGTCTCCCTGTGTATTGTCAACTAAGAGAGAAAGAGCTTTCTTTGGAGAGAGAAGGGCTTACATTAAAATAAAAGTCTCGCTCTTGTCAAACTTACTGTCATTTGTCAACATTTGCTGTTTGCACAAGTCCCAACGTTTGTTTGATTACATGTGGAATCAATGGCTGTCAGAGGCGCCTTCACATTCACGTGTTTGTGGTCGGTGCAGAAATTGCCGTAATTAGACTTGTGTTCAATGCTACTGTGTGAATCTGTGCTATAGTCAAAGCTGCGATGCAATTACACTGGTCGTCTGACAGGCACACTGTAAGGAACCTGCTTAGAAACATAAACAATGCATTAAAAATTGGATTCTTAACTTTCTAACAACAAAACATTGAACTACCTGTATGTAATTCAATGTGTGACGTCATGGTGATTCAATGACATCATACTATTACAGGAATGAGACAGGAGCTTTAAGATGGAATGCGTTACTTTGTAATGTGTTACACTGGTTTAATTGTAATAAAAGTAAGGAAAAACAAAAACTTTATTTTGGGTTTTTTCAGAATTCTATTGATTTGAATGGATGACGTCAAACTCTGCTCTGGAAATTTTAGTAGTTTCAGAAACCTGGGAGTCCGAGTGTTGTACTTGCCTTATGGAGCCGGAGATCAACACAGACACACAAAGACACACACAATTCAATTCAATTCAATGTATTTTAGAATAGCCAGAAATCACTTTACAAAGTTGTCGATTTACCAACACAAATCGGAAATCAAACAAAACTCACACTGGAAATTCAATAATAGGACACACATAATAATAAGCCATTGGTCCGTAAGGGGCAGATGATCAATGTCCATGAATGTCAATAGATGCCCATAAATGTTGTTAAATGTCCTGGATAATCACTACTGTTCTCAAAACGTCCTGTATTGGCAAGGAATCACAAAAAAACCCAAAAAAAACAGTTGGAAAAATGTGAAACCTGGGGTAGGCTCACATTAAGGGAGGGATCTGCTCTGCACAGTCGGATATACGTTATAGATCAAGGACTCAGGCTGTAGAACGAGGATCAAGGCCATGCAGAGCAGGACTGATGCAGCCCACAGACCCACACAGACGGACGGATCGCCTTCACAGAACAAAGCCGACATATGGAGACCGATCATCGCCTGCCGGGTGAGAATGGGAACCCGGGACGGCGGCTTGAGGGATGAGAAGGAGCAGTGGAGTGACGCAGGAGGTCAGGTGGGAGAACGCCTCACACAGAGCAGCGGAGATGGACTGAGCGTGTCAGACAGAGATGATGTGGTCGTCGGTCTGGGATAGTTGTGATTGAGGTCAGGCGCTCCTCTGCACGCGTCTGTCTGCTTGAATCACGCTCTGCCAAACTCATCAGGACGGGAGTGTGTGGAGTTATGAGAGCTGAGGCAGAGCGGGAAGCGACAAGAAACATGGAATTCATAAGATTGGGTTTACCATCTGCAACAATATTGATCGATAACAAAGATTATAAATAAAGGTTATATAATTGTTAATTTGCCAAAACAGATAAATGGCATTACAATTTGTTTCTTCAAATTAACTCTTCAAATATAGTGGTATATTAAAGTAATTCAAATGATCAAAATAATTTCTGGATCGGGGGGGTGGCAGTCAGAGCTGTCCCAGTACAGAGAGCACCAGCCCGTCACTGGTCCTCCTGCAGGTGGTGTGAGTCCACTCTAGCTCTAGTCTGAGCTGCCTTGATCTTTCAGCGGGGGCATCAGGCAAAGTGGGGTTAAAAGTCTTGTCTAAGGGCAAAATTACAACAGACATCAATGGGAGTTGTGAAGTAGGCTCAAAGACTAATGCTCTACCAACTGAGCTGCTGTCGCCTTGAAATGATATCTGACTTTTCAAAATCTGACTTTGTAAAGAGAAAATTATAAGCCTACCAATATTTATCCAAAGCCACTTTTTGTAAATGAACTATTCATTTATGTTTCACATATAACACAGCTCATTCTGAGGGAAGCATTAGCAATTTGGTCGGAAAATTCCATTCCAAAGTCCATTTACTTCTGCAATTCAACTTAAACTCTGAAATTACTAGGACACACTCATTACACGCAAAGTGACATAAACCAATCCATTGTTTGTTAGTTCAATGGTATGATTCAAATGCTATGATAAAAATCTACAGAGCCATAGAACATCTCAGAAATGGGAAAATGTTGTAATGGACTGTAGGCCATAGTGATCCAAATGATAACAAACAAAGGCTTGGCATATTTCACTTCGCTTGTAAGGAGACCGTATCATGTATTGGTTTCATATTTTAAGTAGAACTACAGAAACTTTTGAACGGTATTATAATTGTCAAACTTTCTCCTGTCTTCGCCGGTGTCTTCTTTCAGTTCTTCACCGATTCCTGTTGCTTCAGTTTGATTTCTGTTTTGAAAGAATCCTCCCAGAGTGGTGGTGAAAGTGCCTGAGAGGAAGAAGTTTGAGCAAAAGCAGAGATAAAAATAAAGCGTGTGTAAATGATGAGAGGAACAGTGGATGAAGAGCAGTATGTGGGGTGCAGAGTGATACGGGGGCTTTGATTTCAGCTCACAGATCTGCAGAAGAAAGAGCTGCACATAATGACTCCATCACTATTGTTGGTGCGGCACCACAACACAACACAACCAGTGGGAAGTACATCAGACAGTGCCTTTCTTTGTAATAGCTGTTGTGTCAGTGTGTTGTAGGGACCCTTTGTCAACGTTAACTTCAAAATTATAACTTGGAAAATTTGAAAATTGTCCAAGAGATCATTCATTTCTAAATTTCAACTTAAAATTGAAAACCAATCATGAGGCTGTATCATACATACAGGCTCATTATCTGCAGAAGGACAATGTGGTTATAATGTTGACGATTATGTCTTGACTCATTTTTAATCAGAGAATATCAAGTGCTAATTACCATAGCAACGCACTGTTTACTGTCAGAAGTTAGAATAAAGGTTTTGCACCACCGCGTGACCTACATAGCAACCGTCACTACGCCGCCATGTTGGATGGCAGGTTATGAAACTCTATAGTCAGATTCAAGACTTAGACTGATAGGAAAGTTTTTCTGCATTTTTAATTGTGGTAAATGCTCAGAGCGAGACAAAGATGTTTTTTTTTTTTTCTTTTATATTCCGGCCGTAATTAGCCATCAAGGAAAAGAAACTCTACCACAATTAAAAATGCTGCAAAAAATCTGACTATAGAGTTTTATAACCTGCCATCCAACATGGCGGTGTAGTGACGGTAGCTATGTAGGTGCAAAACCTCTATCAGCCTTGTTTTGCTGTATTTCCGTTAAAATGGCCAGTTTTAGCACTCAGTTAGTAAAGGTCAAATCTGTATATTTTTAAAACTTTAGAATAAAGCTTCAGTTTTTATAAAATACCTTTTGGACACTCAAAAACACATAATTATTCATTCACTCCTTAAACAGTGGTGATAAACAACTACTGTAGCCACAGCTGCCCTGACGCACACTGGCCCAAGCAAGGCAATCACTATGTGCCATCGGCCCCTCAGACCACCCTCAACTATCCTTGTACAGGACACACCGCCCCACTGTTACACCTAGTATTCCTAGAGGTCTCCCATCACAGTACTAACCAGGCCCTTCCCTGAGATTAGGCACTCGGTCAGTGGTGCCAGAACTTGATTTTTGTTGCTGCCGTGAGCCAGTTATCAGTATTATATTTTCAAAAAGCTGGACATTTTAATTGCAAGACAATATTTGCTGATGGGACAAGCGTGATTTCAAGTGCTGTCGTTTTGACGTGTTTCTTGTACTTGAAACTGTTTGCTTCTATCTCTAGTTTTCACATGCATGTATTTTTGGTCTTTGTCATGTTTTGAAGTTATATTTTTCAGACAGAAAAGAGAAAAAGAGAGGACCACCCTCAGGCAGCTCTCATGGTGACTCACAGGGCTCTTTCTCGCAAGTACGTAAAATATGTATATTTCTAAGACAATGTACTCTGATATGATTGTTACAGTTTAACATTTACATGAACCTCTGAGGTAAACGTGTATATGTGAGGTTAAATGGCCAGGCCCCTGATTATATGTCAGATCTGTTCTCTCCTCATGCCGCGGTCAGATCAGTGAGGTCAGAAAACCAGCTGTTACGCAGGTCTCCCAGGTCTCCACTGAAAACTGCCAGTGACAGAACCTTTGACCCTCAGCGTGAAGAGTTAACCACAGTTCACCAGGGGCTACTTCCTAGGAGACTTTTATATTGAGCTTTTTCTGAAGTTTTTCTTTGACTTTTAACACTAGCTAACTTTTCGTAGATTATAGGCTTCCCACATGTAGAACCACGTTTAGTCAACAATCATTCTCTTATAAAGCCATTGGAACACTCTTCGAAACCAAATCATTTCATGCACAGATAACACTGTTTAAACGCCTGACTGAGACAGGTTTGTTACTGTCACATCAAACCTTTAGATTCACTCAAAACCATTGAGTGACTCTGACATTGTATTACATTATAAGTGAATGTTTGATTGTTTCCCGTGTAGTTGGATTGATTTTACAGAATTTCTCTTTCTCTGATATTAACATTTTCCTGTACTTCTGTCCAGGGTCTACCAGTGGAAATTAGGATCTCATGCAATAAACTGGCACATAGCATTTCTCCTGTCATAGACTGTTGGCAGTTGTGCATTGTTCCTGATCAAATAAATAAAAAATAAGGTGTGTTTTGTAATGTTTTCCTATATACAGTATATATTGTGCATGTGCGTTGGGCAGCTTATAATAATCAATAATTAATCCTTGTAACTACCTCCTCGCTCTCAACATTATGTTGTTTTCACATGCGTGTGTTTTTGGCCTCTGTCACTTTTTTTCAGCTTTTTCAGTGAAAAGGAGTTATAGCACACAGGGAGAGCCGTTTAGGTTTATTCAATATTGATTAGGTCTGTCAAAATTAACCCTAACCCAATTTTTTTTTCATTAATTGCGTTTAAAAGAATTAACGCATTGACACGACTGTGCCGAATGACCCGCCCATGCATCCCATAATAACTCTCAGAAGTGCCACTCACAGGCTTCTCATTTTGAAAACTCTCCCCTACGCTCTCCTCCCACTGAGCAATCTAGTTTTAGTAGCGATCTGATAGGCATTAGTTAGTATTAGCACAACTTCCTATGAGCTGTAGGCAATCACTGATGAAATAGTATCAAAAGCAATGCACTGCTGACAAAACATACAGTACAATAACTGAAAGATTTCCGCTGGTTTTGCATCCAAATGTAGTCCAAAGCGTTCCCGGGGTTTAACCAGTGGGGGCGGGTCCCGGCTCAAAAGTAGCCAAAATGACGTACGCTGACATGCTTGCAATACCACCCCGGGCCTATGGGGGTGGACCCGGTCTAAGAATTAGCCAATGCTAACATATAGCTAACATATAGCATTCTTACCTCTCGAAAACGTCTTTACAGGATAGTCCAAAAGTTGGCTCTTGGCTCAAAGCTCCGTTCCACATGTGTGTCAATGCTGAGGGGAGTGAATTTAGTCTAGTTTAGTCGCTGTGAATTTTTGAAGGCACCTGCTCAACTTTACCCGAACGCTTGCTACAGCGCGCGCTACAGAGCGCCATCTAGAGCGCGCTCCAGAGTGGGATCCAGAGCGGGATCCAGAGCGCCATCCAGAAGAATGCCATCCAGAGCTCCACACAGAGCGCCATCCAAAGAGCTATCCAGAGAGCGCTCACGTTTCGGCCTGCACACACACAAACTCACAACACATACTGACCCACTGTTGTAAACACAAAATTACAACTTTAAAAAAGTACAAATTTTGAGTTTTAAAAGGTAAATTTAAGTTTAAAAGTTATAGTTTTGAATTTCTAGTGGTCTTTTTATTTTTACATGGCGGAAACGGGCTTTCATAGCTTTCTGTTGGGACAAACCAAAACAAATTTTTATGCAGCGGAGATTGCCTGATTCCTCTGAGACGGAGCACCTTCAGTCAGAGGGCCTCCTCTGTAACCGCTGCTAGAGACTGGAACTCCATCCCAGCAAATATATAAGAGAATCACCATTTTCAAAATACATCTGAAAAACTGGTTAGTAAAACAGAGATGTATGCATTAGTTTAGTTTAGTAAATATTAGAGCTGGGACTTAACACGTTAATTAAGATTAAGAAATTACACAAAAATTAGCGTCTTAAAAAATTGACGCATTTTCATCATATATATTTTCGCACGGTGGAGCGTTTCACACTGGATGAGTTTTAGGCCATGTCCACACGTAGCCGGGTATTTTTAAAAGCGAATATTTCCCC